TTATGCAATTTTGGGGTGTCTCTGTGAGATCCTGTCCTTTGGGCAGAGTGGTATGCTTTGATTAAGAGTGGAATTACCCTTGTAAACTAATCCCCAGGACCTCTTCTGTGCGGGTATCACCCTTGTACCACTTCCCTAGCAGCCTTAGGAAATAGCTCATTCTATGATTGGAATTTCAAGTCAAAACACATTTATCTGAGCAGAATTTTAATGATTTATCAAAGAGAGGAGGGATTTTCCCAAACACATCTGAACTTACCAAATTACTGATCCCATTAGCTATGTTTTTTCTTAAGCACCTTTCTTTAAACAAAGCAATTACTGCTGAAATCATCAAATGTATTTTTCATAAAAGCTTTTGACTAACTTTTGTTTGATTAGCAGGAACCCAGTAAAAGTAAATATTGTTTGAAAAGGCACTTTCAGAGCCCTTTCTTTTTCTTCATTGAATTAGCTTTTAAAAGCACTGTTCTTTGGAGAGAGTAAGAGCCTTTTTTCCAGCTGTCCTATTGTGTAGCTCAAGGTCTTGCTAATACTATTATCTGGCCCTGAGATTACAGGTAATTGTGATAAAACACAAGATTCAGTTTCTGTAATCTCAGACAGAAATCTGCTTGTGCCCCAGGACTTCATATCAGGTATTTGCTAAATTCATACTTCTCTCACCTGGGATAACCCCCTTGGCCTCCAGTAAACAGGTATCTGGCAGGGATAGGTCGCATTAGGGCCCATTGCCTTAAAAAAAAAAAAAATCATGTGGCAGAACTCCTCCTGTGGCCAACTTTCATACGACGTGCTCTAAATGGGAAAATTATATATTTTAAAATAGGCAWGTTTGAAACAATAACACTTTGAATGTGAAATGTACCAAAGGCCACATGTCTTTGGCTTTACTTGTCAAATGAAGAGGCTGCCAGAACCACTCGGCTCCATGGTTCTCATGCCCCAAAGTGCTGCAAATTGACACATAAGGAGGCAACACACAAAGAAATTCAGCCCATGAGAAAGTGAGTGTGGGCACTTGGGCCGGCCTCCTTTCTCTCCATGTGGAGCTCTTTCCAGCTTGCTTCTTGTGTCCCATCTTAGTTTTTCAAAAAGGAGAGATTAAACGTGTCTGGTATTTCAGCATGTTAACTGCATGGGCCACATGAGGCTAGCACTCAGGCCACTGTTCAGCCTGTCATAYGGAAGGAATTGCCTTTCAAGGGAGATTATAATTGTGTACGTAGCCACACAAATGCACATTCTGCCTGAAGGAAAATGCACAGAAGAGGAGGCCTTATGCTGCCACTCAGGTCCCTTTGTGGAAGCTACACAAGAAGCATAGTCACCTCCTTTGGGCTTAATGAGTCATCTTTTTGTGTGTTAGCTACTTAAAAAACACAAAAAATAAAAAGGAAAGAAGAAATGCCCTCTCCCTAAGTGAGTTGCTTGTTTGGGCCCTGCAGCGTGGTCTCAGAGTTTTGTATATTCCTGATGACATCATTTACGATGCTAATGCACAGACAGTAAACAAAAAATAACCTAGCTTTTGGGCATCTAGACAAAACTGAAAGAGTCCAATTTAGAGAAGTGATAACACTATGCTTTATAAACACAGGAGCTTAAACAACCTGAGAGACCCCAGTCCTTTTTGGAATGTGATGCTCTGAAAGATGGCTGTGGAGCAACCTGGAAGCTCAGTACTCTAGAGTTACGTGCGGTTCAGGCTTGCGTCTGCCGTCTAGTGTTAGTCCCAGCAGTGTGTTCTTGTAATGGACAAAGTTGAGGGTTACCATGTGAGTAAGTTATTATGCTCCTTGTGCCATAGCATTTTGCCTAGAAAAATGGAAAGGGAAATATTGCCACCTACCTCAGAGGAATGTGAGATGACTGAGAAGATAAACGTGCAGTTCTTTACAGGAAAGGTGTTTTGTAAATAGAAAATATTATCATTATTCTCCTTGATCAAATTTCCCCAACAAGTGGAGTTGATAAAAGCTACCTCACAGAGGGTTGAGAAGATGAATTAATATATGTCAAGTATCTTGAAAGTAAACTATTTAATGAGACCTATAATTGATTATCTTTCTTGATAGTCTATAAACGATCAAACCTGCCATTTAGACAAATGATTACCCTATAAAATCTCACATGTGCCGTCTTTTGGCTTGTCTTCAAGGGCTGTCATGGTAGAGGATGGGGAATACATAGGTGAAGAAAATAGATGAAATCTTCAGGGAGAATTGCCATGGCTTTTTTTCTCTTCAAGGTTATGCCTATAAATAGCTTCTGGAGTCTTGCTAATCTTTGTTGCCATGTCTGGAGTAGGGACTATTTCAACCTTTGCTCTTTCAGTAAATATTTATTTTTGATCTCATATTTCTAAAGCAGAAACAAACTTACAAGGAAAAGAAGTAGTTGATTTGTCTCACCTTGTGAACTTTTTCTTATCTTTCCTAGTATGGTAAGAGAAAATAACTATTATTGACATCAGGCTCCCCAACTGGAAAGTTTTCAAAGGAATCCAAGTAGTAAAAACAACTCTGGCTATTATTGTCAGAGAAGAAGGGATACCAGTAAACTACACACACACACACACACACACACACACACACACAAATACACAAACACACACACATTTACTGAAGGAGCAAAGTTGGAAGGAGTCCCTGTGTGTGTGTGTGGGGGGGGTACATGCACTACTAGGGATTGAACCCAGGGTTGCTCTACCACTGAACTACTCCCCAACCYCTTTTTAATTTTTTACTTTGAGACAGGTCCTTGCTAAATTACTGAGGCTGGCCTCAAACTTGCCATCCTCCTTCCTCAGCCTCCTTAGTTTCTGGGATTACAGGCATGTACCACTGCACCCAGCACAGTTTGAATTTTTTAAAATAAGTTTACTCCATGTATGTATACCTTTGTTTTATTTATTCATTTTTATGTGGTGCTGAGGATGAAACCCAGTGCCTCACATGTACTAGGCAAGTGCTCTACCACTGAGCCACAACCTCAGCCCCACAATTTGTATTTTTAGGGCTGGGGATGTGGCTCAAGTGGTAGCGCGCTCGCCTGGCATGCGTGCGGCCCGGGTTCGATCCTCAGCACCACATACCAACAAAGATGTTGTGTCTGCCGAGAACTAAAAATAAATAAATAAATAAATATTAAAAATTCTCTCTCTCTCCTCTCTCACTCTCTTAAAAAAAAAAACAATTTGTATTTTTAAATGACAGAATTATCACTGACATCTCTTTGTCCATTTTTGTTGATGTTTTCACAAGATTTTAGGTAGAAAAACTTGAGAAGACTCCTTAGGTAATTTTACAAGTTCAGAATTTCATGTTTTGTTTCTAAGGTTAATAGCATTTAGGTAACTTCATTTCTCAAATTTTGTTTTCTAGTAAGTGACACAAAAAAGGGAAAGGCTATTTCATTTAGATCCTAAATCCTCAGGCAGGGACCTGTCTCTTAATTAGGCATGGGTTATCCCCAGCACCCAAAAAACAGTCAACCCCCCAAAAAACACATATGCACACAGATAMTATCTCAATTTCTAAGTAGCACAGCTGCGCCAACACTGTCTTAAGTGGAATATGGGTTCAACTAGATGTTCTTAGTGTGCCAGCTTGAGTCATTCTCTTATCCAAGAGGATAGAAGCAGACAGCAGTCTCGTTCAGTCCTCACAACAGATTTGTGAGGAGGCACCAGACTGATCCTACTTTTCCTTGAGGAAAGCAAGATTTAGATTATGTAATTTGCCCATGGCTGCTAAGCTAATATGTGTGGAGCTGAAGTTTGAATTAAGTTATCTATAGCCAGCGTTTTTAGCTGCTGTGCTTTCTTTCAGTTCCTGTTATTTCTTTTTTTTAATATTTTAAAAAATTTTTGTTGTAATTGGACAGAATACCTTTATTTTATTTATTTTTATGTGGTGCTGAGGATCAAACAAAGTGCCTCGCACATGTGAGGTGAGCGCTCTACCACTGAGCTACAACCCCAGCCCCAGGTCCTGTTTTTCTAAGGATCCTTTTTCCTTTTAAGTTCAATGAGGATTTAAGTRTATCAGAGCTTAAATTTAACAACAATTTCCACAGAATATATTATAGGTTCCTTAGATTCTTTGGAGATATATATATTTATTATATATAACTAATTATATAAATACATAATTAAACATTTTCTCCATCATGCAGTGTTGGTATTTTAGACACAGTTTATTATACTGTGCATAGATATGTTGTGACATTTACCCATGAGAGAACATGTTATTTTTATTATGCATAGGAGGAAAGAGGACTCAAAAAACTTAAGTAWTTTTTTCTACTTGTATGCAGATAGCAATTGGTGGAGGTAAGATTTGATTCTAATTTTTATAATTCCAAATTTAATGGTTTAAGGGCCAATCAATTTTAGTTAAATTCCACCTCATAGTTTTGGTTTGTTTTAGTGCTGGGGATTGAACCTAGGGCCTGGCACACTCTAGGTAAGTGCTCTACTACTACTACTAGTACTATTCCTCCTCCTCCTCCTCCTCCTCTTCTTCTTCTCTCAAAAAGTGGCATTTATTCAAAGAAAAAGAAAATAAAATAACAAGATGTCCATCCACTGGCTCCCTTCCCTCCCCCTTCCAGCTGCTCCTTATCCCCCAGGATTGAGCCCTGGCTGGAGGTAGGTAGCAGGACAGCCCCTCTCAGATGAGGTCAGCAACATTGAGGGGCATCTCTTCATGGAGGTGTTGTAGAAGGTCTCAGTATCTCCAAGAGTCATCTTGTCTTCCTCTTTTACCATGTAAATAGCCATACCCTTTCGGCTAAAAYACCCACCTCCACCAATTCTGTGGATGTAGTTTTCCTTGTTGGTGGGAAAGTCATAGTTGATGACTAAAGAAACTTGCTGCACATCAATGCCTCTGGCCTATGTCAAGGAAGATGGAAAAAAAAAGAAAGAAAGATGGCAAATTTAGCCTGTGAATTGAAAATACTGTGAATCGATCCATCCAGAGGGACGTAAATGTGCATGTAGGCAGCCAAAGGAAGGCAAAAGAAACCAAGTATCCTCTGTTTCCCAAAGACCTTAGGCATGACAAGTTTTCTTCCAAGTTGCTACTTTCCTGAGAGAGGCACTAGTTGGCCCCATGGAGAGAGAATCACCTTGGATTAAGTGTTCTACTTCTGAACTCAACCCCAATCCTTTTTATATTTTATTTTGAGACAGGGTATTGCTAAATTGCCCAGATTGACATCAAACTCGTGATCCTCCTGCCTCAGTCTCCCAAGTAGCTGGGATTACAAGCGTGTGCCACAGTGTCTGATGACTCTGTAGTTATTAATGATAAGACCCCCCTCCATACTTGTAATGCCTCTCCCTCCAGACTTACATTTTGTACTAGGTTTGTGAGCCACTGAGGTCTCCTAAACTTTGGCACCTCACATAGTTTTGTGCGGCTTATCTCTTAGGGGATTAGTTAGGGTGAGGGTCAAGCTGCTATTATAAAAAAGATCCATCTTTACTTCACCCTGGTCCATCCACCCTGGTACAGTAGCTTACAAAGAAAGAACTTTATTGTTCTTTTACTTAACCTAAATCCAGGATGTGCAAGCCAAGCCAAGATCTATCATAGGCAGTCACAGGATTTCAGGCTAGTTGGGCAAACCATTTAAAATATATGGTTTCTGCATCATGTACAACCACAAGAATAGGATCCGAGTTAGATAAGTTATACTCCATGTGTGTGTATAATCTGCCAAAATGCATTCTATTGTCATGTATATCTTAAAAAACAAATAAAATAAAAATAATAATAATAAAATAAAATATATGGTTTCCAAGGATGGCTCAATTATAACCACTTGGAAAAAAATGAAAAGAGGTTTGTTTTGTTTTGTTTTGTTTTGTTTTCCCATGAAAAGAGGAATGTGTGAATCCAAGGCAAGGACCCTTAAGCAAGTGAAACAAAAGTTGTAAATATCACTTGTGCTCACATTTTATAGGTGAGAAGTCAGTATAAGGCCCCTGCTAACTGCAGAGGAGTCTGGGAATTGAAGTCCAATTAGACAATTGTGTGCAAGAAGAATGGGAGCACAGATTTTGGGGGGTAYAATCTACCATACCTGGTATATACAGTGGAGATGTCTCTCCTACTCAAGAAATGTTATTGGTAGCTGCTTGTCCTTATTCTAAAGCAAAGCACAGATGTATCGGTGGGTATTTGGCTTTTTCTCTTCTACCTCTACCTCTTGAAGTGGAAAGATATTTTATCCCATGTCCCTATTCTCCATATTTCTACCTCCTACCACCACTGAGCTTGGTTACTTCTGTTTTATTTTTTCCATTCTTTTCAGGGTATAGACTTATCATAAAAACCTAAGTCTTGTCACCAAATAATTTTACAGGAAATAAATATATTTTCTTCCTAGACTGAGATTGACTGCTAAGAGATAGAGGAGAATCAGGAAAGAACAGTGCCACAGAAACCAGGGAAGGGGAGTTTCAAGATGGAGGGAATGTTCAGTGGGATCTGCCCTCAGAGAGATTGCAGAAGGTAAGAGCTATAGGAGGTTGCAGGTAAAGTGCCGAGGAGAGACTTCAGTCATAATATGCAGGATGCCTGATTTGCCTGGAAGCTAGGCTGGATTCATTCCAAGAAGTTTGGCTAATTTTGAGGAGAGGAGATAGCAAGAGAAGGGAGGGAGAGTTTTATTTTTTTAGTTTTTAGATGGGAGAGACTTGAATATGTTGAAGGAAAGGAGATCGTATATGTGTAGGGAGACTGGGAAGATCCAAGAGAAGAAAAGAATGAGTAACAACTGTGGACACATTTTCAGAAGAAGTGGAAGAATTCTGTGGTCAAAGGTAGAGGTGTACTGAGAGGGGTGGCCTACTCTTTTAATTCTAGCAGCTCTGGAGGCTGAGCCARGAGGATCACAAGTTTTAAGCCAGCCCCAGCAATTTAGTGAGGCCCTAAGCAATTTTGCGAGACCTTAACTCAAAAATTAAAAAAGGTGGGGGGGGGGGCTGGGGACGTGTGTGGTTTGTTTAAGCACCCCTGGTTCAATCCCTGATACCAAAAACAAACAAACAAATAAACAAACAAAAATTGTAGCTGTGCAAGCCTGTTTTGGAAGTGAGAATCAGGTCCTACAAAGAGATCTTTGAACTATCTGAGCTCTAACAAAAATATATCAGCCTTAAAGTATGTTCAGTTATGTATCTATTTAACACAATATCACTTTCATTGTTACATTTACTATTGACAAAGGCTTTACTGTTTTTGAAACATTTTTTTCTCAGTAGGAGGAATTCCCAAGTGAGAAATCAGATTCTAAGATGGTCATAGAATGGCTTTATAAGAACAATAGTGGTAGACTATAGTAAAGATGGTGAAAGACATATTTAAACTTAGAAATGTATCTAGGAGTTGATTATCTTTCTCTAATGACCTCTTCTTTGTCTTTGAAGTTAGAATGAAGATTATCTCCTTTGAGTTAGGGAAGCAGAAGTAAAAGGACAACAAAGAAAGTTTTTATTAGTTACTGGGGAAAGAAGAAAGAAGGCTTGACCAAGAACAAATATAAGAATTCTGAGAACATTAAAGTACATGAAGTAAGGSTGAAAAAAAGAAGTAACTGGGCTGGGGATGTGGCTCAAGCGGTAGCGC